AGTTCCATTATACCATGCGTTTTACTTAGAACTTAGTCTCATATACAACTACTATCGAACAGTAAAAATATAATTTTTAATACGGTTGAGGTGTTGGATTTGTTGCCAACTAGACTGTGGTGCAGGTTCAGGCTGTTGTATAACAGGAGCTTGTTCTTCTGGTTCAGGGTCTTTAGGTATAATACCAACAAACTGACCTACTCTTTTACCAATATTTTTGACTCCGTTCCAAATTCCTCTTCCTACGGTTTTTATTCCATTCCATATACCTCTTCCAACATTTCGAAAGAAGTTTCCAATACTACTGAAGAAACCATTTTACTATATGTAAAAATCTAATGTCCACCTAGTCTCTTACGTTTCCTTCTGAGTTCCATAGCATTCTTTAACTGGAGCTCATACATTCTATTTCTCCTCTGGTAGAAAACATACTCTGGGTCAACTCTGTGTTCGCGTCATCTGCATAGAGTTGTTTATATCCCACTTCAGGGTTTGTATAAAACTCTTTCCATCTCATATTTGCATACCATGGTGGCAAACCTAACGCAGCGTCATTTGACATGGCAGTTTGCATTTGTACATCTGTTGGCACTTGACCATAGTTTGCCATTGCAGTTTGTATTCTAACTTCATTTGGAATATTCTCTGGGTTTGGTTGTCCAGGTTGCTGTGCATTCGCTAAGTTCTGTGCGTCCATTTAATATTAGATAAAAATATCTCTTACGAGTACATATGCTGAACATTTGCAGGCATTGGTTCATCTTCATATTCTCTATATCTTTCTGCACGTCAAATAAGTAAATGACACAATGGAAAAAACCTAAAACAAGTAGTCCTATTTCAAACCACATTTACTTACTAGTAAAATTTCTTTGTTATGACACTTTCTCCAGTTTATAGGACCTCTCTATATTCTATCTTATCGTATCTAAACTCATAGTCATGTATGTCCTCTAACCATCTCATGACACTTTCCAAACCACTTTTATCGGATGTAAAGTAAAAGCATGGATGGTTATGTAAAACGTCTAAAGTTTCTAAAGAGTCTCTCAAAGTCCAGTCTACTTGGTATTGAAAATCATATGTGTTATAGAACGGCGGGTCCACTATAAAGAAAACATTTTCCTTGTCTTTGTATTTTTCATACAACTCTGTCCAATGACATCTCACAAACTCTATACCCTCAATATATTTTTCTATGTTCTCTTTGAAAACATTTGTATAGTTAAGATATAAAACGTTTGACATAAGTGTTTCAATGTCATGAACTCTTATAGAACCACTATACAATAGTCTAGAAGATATACTATCCCAGTCAATATACTCTGCCTTTTTCAAAACCTCTCTGACAATATTTTTCTTATCTAATGGTATACGTTCCATCTTACCTATAGGTATCTTTTCTTTTAACTCTTTCAATATATTGTTTGTGTCTGGTATATGTTTGAGACGGTTCATATAGTTGTCGAAGTCATTGCATATAATCTTTGAGTCAGGAAATATTGTATGGCACAAATGAGATATATAGAAACTTCCACCGAACAAGTCTACAAATGTTAGACCATTCGGTAGTTTCTTAAGTTCTCTCAATAGAATATCTTTACATCTACTCTTATTTCCAAAGAAGGGTAACGGTGGTTTTGTAAAATTCATTTTATATATATAATAAAAATGTTTTTTTCCTGAAAAGTGACAGAAAAGCGGTTTTTGACAGATGTTTTATTGTGACTTCTTCGTAAAGACTTTGTTGAGATTTCATCGTAAATGAGCGTAAATGACCAAAAAATAATGTTTATGTTAGAATGTTAGATCTAACACCTTTTCTAACATGTTTTCTAACATCGTAGAAAACTCATGAATTTCTTCGTAAAGACTTTGTTAAGACTTCTTCATCTAATTTCTCATGAACTTTCTTGTCTATGTTTTGTTAAGATTTCTTCGTAAATGTTTTGTTAAGATTTCTTCGTAAATGTTTTGTTGAGATTTCATCGTAAATGACCCTAGTAGTATATTTTTGGTGTAAATTTCATGAAAATTCAAGAGTTTTCTACGATGTTAGAAAACGTGTTAGAAAACATGTTAGATCTAACATTCTAACATAAAATATATTTTTGGTGTAAATTTCATGATTTTCGAGAGTTTTCTACGATGTTAGAAAACGTGTTAGAAAACATGTTAGATCTAACATTCTAACATAAAATATATTTTTGGGTCATTTACACTCATGAACTTTCTTGTCTATGTTTTGTTAAGACTTCTTCGTAAAGACTTTGTTAAGACTTCTTCGTAAATGTTTTGTTAAGACTTCTTCGTAAATGTTTTGTTAAGACTTCTTCGTAAATGTTTTGTTAAGACTTCTTCGTAAATGTTTTGTTAAGACTTCTTCGTAAATGTTTTGTTAAGACTTCTTCGTAAAGACTTTGTAAAGACTTCATTTATACTAAACATCTTCGGGGGCTAGAAGGCACGAAGTGCCTGGAAGCCCCACTACCTTTTTTTTTTTTTTTTTTTTTTTTTTTACTATAAAATTATACCTCAAATTCAAATATTTAAAATATTATTTACATAATTATCTCAAAATTATATTTTTATATATTATTTTTCATATGTATAAATCATATAATCTATATCTATGCAAATCTCATCTAAAATTTTTTGAAACAAACCGCTACCATTTTATAATGGTCCATCTTAAATTCATCATAAATTCTGGTACATGTTAGTACCAGAGTCTTCAAATCTCAAACACTCTGGTACCAACATGTACCAGACGCGAGTTTCCAATGCCCTCGTACGATTTTCTATTAAGATCTTCTTGAATGAGAAGGTCTTCATAGAAACTCGTACGAGGGCTTCTCTTTTAAATACTCTGGTACCTGCTGGTATCGGAGTCGACTTTACAGCCCTTTCCCCAATTTTGAAGCTGGGGAAAGTTTTCAAGCAATGAAAGGGAAGCTCTCGCTATGAGGTGAAAATCTAGAATTTTTACCTCATAGCGAGTAATCCTTTGTTAATTGCTTGAAAACTTTCTTCAAATTATCAAAATTTCGAGGAAAGTTTCCTTGCTTCAAAGTAGAGATGGAGCCCTTTGAGCCACTGCATATAGGTCAGTGACTCAAAATACTCCATCTCTACTAGAAATCGCCAAAATTTGGGTCGCAATCTTTGAAATGCGACGCAAGTTTTGGCAATTTCGCGAGGGACTTGCTCCATTTGGTGCATAGATTCACACTCTATGCACCAGATGGAACAATTCTTTCGCTGACAGCGGGAAACTTTGTCTGAATAGTTTAACATTCAGACAAAGTTTTCCGCTGTCAGAGAGGGAATGGAAGGGTAAGAGGTATATATTCATAATGTATACCTCTTACTCTTCCATTCCCTCAAGAAAGTTCAAAAACTTGGGTGCAATCAGTTCTGATTGCACCCAAGTTTTTGAACTTTATATAAGGAATTGTTGGCTATGATGTACTGATCATGAATCAGTACATCATAGCCAACAATTCCTTCGCAAACAGTGGGAAACTTTGTCTGAATAGTTTAACATTCAGACAAAGTTTCCCGCTGTCAGGGAGGGAATTAGAGGGTGGGAGATATATAGATAGACTATAAATCTCTCACCCTTTAATTCCCTCAAGAAAGTTCAAAAACTTGGGTGCAATCAGAACTGATTGCACCCAAGTTTTTGAATTTTGTATAAGGAATTGTTGGCTATGATGTACTGATCATGAATCAGTACATCATAGCCAACAATTCTACCTTTTAACCAAAGATAATTGATTCGTATGTAAAATATTAAGCTAAAATTTCTCTTTCTTTTAGTACACATTCTTCCATTTCGTGTACATGTATCATATATTAAGTACTAGTTATCTATTCTATATCCTTTATCCCAATTTAGATACTCAAAGATAATTCTTTTTCAGAAGAAAAAAAATATTTTCTATTAAACCGTTATTTTTTCAATGTGAGTTTTCAATTTTATTTTTCCTTTTTGCTGCTCAATGCAACATCCTCCACCCGATCCTCCATGCGAGGTTGATCAAGCCATAGGATATTTAGAATATTCTCGTTTTGTTATAGCTGCAGAGCTGCATGGTAACATAAGATTTGTCAAAGACCCACAAAAACTATCAATTGGAACAGGAGTATTAATCTACCACCGATGCGAATACGAAGGCTGCCCAGCAGGCTTTAAATTTATTAAAAATTTCGACAATTACATTTTTAAATCTGCAAACTTAACTCATATTCACTCAGGACCACCACCACAACATAAAAATACACCTACAAGTGGTACTTACCGTGCTTGGATTAAAAAATTTCTCATGAATCACGGAAGTCCACTTAATGCAACACAAGAAGTCAACAAAACGCTTGAAATACCTAAAGATCATACTTGTATTCACATGACTATGAAACAAACTGCAATCAATCAATTGAAATATTATTTACAACAAAAAGATCTTATGAGATCTTTACCAGACATATCTTTAAATCAATTTCAATCTTTACAAAACTATGTTAATCAATGGGAAGATCAACATGATGACCTTATTTATTTTGACATTCAAGGTGAAGATACTGATTTTCCAGACAAATTGGTTTTTATTTACTCTGATAATGATATGATCTCTCAAATTCATGAAAAACCACCAATTTATCACTTAGACTCTACGTTTAAATTAATTATTCATGGATTTCCTTTTTATGTATTAGCTACCAAATTTGCTAATACTCATTCTATCCCTTTGTGTTATTTTATAATATATCCAGATAATAGTGAAAATATTTCTTTTTGCTTAAGTAAATATTTTGAAACAACTCACACAGAACCTGAATTTATCATGTCTGACTGTGCACTAAACATTTTCAACGGGATTAGGAATTCATTTCCGGAGTGCAATATCTTTTGGTGCGCGCTACATGTAATACGCGCACTTAAAAAGAATCTCTCAAAGATAAATGATGAAGAGATTAGATCAGAAGTCGAAAAATTTATGAACATTTTATGTTATTATCGTGATTGCACAGAAGAAGATGCTGCAAAAATGTATAAAGAGCACATTATTGATAAAATTCAAGATCAATTGGAATTTAATCAATACTTTACACGTCAGTGGGACATTCATAAACAACAGTGGATAGCCGCTGCCAGACCAAATGAATTAACCGTTGTGAATAACGTTTCTGAATCTTTATTTAAAAAGATAAAATATCACGATTTTGGCTGCGTTAAAAATCAAAGAATTGATGTTTTTGTCAAAAATCTTTTAGAAGAAGTTGCACCCAATTACTTTTATCGTATTAAAAACAATTTACTTCAAACAGGTTTTATTCCTTCAATTAGAATTCGCGAGCCTCGATTGACAGATTATAAAACAAAATTGAAAAGAGAAGTTCAATCACGTTTATACCAAGTATTAAATTTTGTTCAGAATCAAGAAGCCAATTTGAATCCATTAAGATTTTTATTGGAAAATGCTGAAGAAAAACTTTCTCAAATAAATGAGAAGATACAAAATTCAATTACATATTTAAGATCGTTTGAAATTCCAAATGAATTGTTAGATACGTATATGTTAGAAATTAATGAATTTTGTTATAATTCTCCAGGTTATATTTTAGAACATTTCGAAGAATTTTTGGAGGATTTCAAAGAAAAGAATAATTTAATAGACTAAAAAATTTATTATTTGTATTTATTGTGAATTTTAAATTGTCACTTTTTAAGTGTTACTCCCTATTGAAAGTATCACTTTTTTGGGTGTCACTTTTTCGGAAATTCTTATATACTCTTGCATTACGGTTCGTTAACGGAAATCACGATGAATCAAATTCTCCAACAATTGAAGACGAGCTTCAGAAAAACATTTCTATTGATGGTGAAACTGTTGTTTGCGATATTATCGATACAAATGGCCAGGATGATTTTAAGGAATTAAGATCACGTTATTTAGACCAAAGCGATGCCTTTGTGATCGTTTATGCAGTTGATGACAAGTCTTCTTTCGATTACATTAGTGAGCTTTATGACGATATCGTCCGCATAAAGAAGACTCAGAATCCACCATGTGTCATATTTGCAAACAAATGCGAACTTCCAGCACCACATGCCATCCCAATTGAAGATGCTAAAGCCAAATCTTCTAGCTCATGGAACAACACTGAAATTATTGAAGTTTCAACCAATCAAAATGATAACATTAACAAAGGCTTCGAAAAAATCTGCCGCCTTGTTTTGAAACAGAATAATTCTAAGGATGGAAAGAAGAAGGAAGAATCTGAGGATTCTAGTAATGGATGCTGCGAAATTCAATAAGAACTTCTACTAAATGTTTAAATTCGATGTTAAATAAAGAAAAATAGTTTAATGGAGCCTTTCATTTAAACTTTTTTCCCCAAAAGGAAGTAATGAAACTTATTTCTTTTTTTTTAAGAGAAATCAAATTGAAGATGATGTATCACTCAAAAAATTCAGTTTTAGCTTTATCTTTCCGATTTTTAGAATTGGCATCTGTTGTATTTATGACATATTTACTTAGGTTAAAAAGGTTCCAACAATATGAATATTTTTTGAAAATAATGTCAACAGACATGAATGATTATTTTACCATCACACAAAAATTGGTTTTAAACTACAAGGATTCTATTTCTATTCATCACAAAATTTCGATGAACATTTATTGTTTTTCCCTATCCGATGCAAATATCCTTAAAACTTAAAACACATTACAGTTGGCTGGATAATACATTCTTGGGCACATCTGTGAACATATATTTGAGATTATTTGATCTATTCATCAAATGATAAAGCGCCATACTTCATCCTCTTAATGCCAAGATCATGTTACATGAATTATGAAATATTTCTTCATATTACATGATATGTCATAATATGAAATTATATCTTTTGAAAACATTTCAATTAACGGCATTTTATTACAAAACAATAAGAAAAAGAAAAATGATCATGGTATCTCTGATAGTTGTAGACTTATTCCTTAACATCAATCTTCAAATCCAAAGGATAGTTCGGTTCTGAATATCCTCTAAACAACTTGAGGTTTTGTTGTTGAGAACATTCCCAGAATTGAGGTAATGGGCTTATTGATAATTTTGAATCGGGAATATTTGTTTTGACATCCTTTGTATCAATTTGAGGCATTGAATCATTAAGTGAATTTTTCATTACTTTGAAAAATACCTTTCTTTTCAGTTCAATTCGAGACATCTTGAGGTCTTTCAATCTTGCTGCTTCGATTTGGTTTGAGTAGTCAATTGACATGAACATTCTATCATTGAATTCTTGCTGATCTCTAGTTGCATCTATCCAGTGTAACATTTCGAGCGATAAATTTGGCTCTTTGGACTCATCCAAAACGACTATATGGTCATGGTTCTTTACACCATAAACTTCAAGTTTCATTGAATTATGAAGAATCATTCCATTAAAAATATAAGTTTTTGGTTTAGATGAAAAAAGTTTGTTCAAATCACTTACGTGAGAAGCTTTATGAACAAGAACCTTCCTTATTATTTGTTTGGGTTGACAAAGGAAAAGAACGAGCTGATTATCATACGTAGACATTGCTCACAAGTTATTTTTTTGATCAAATTGATAGAATTGAATGATCTGCCTTTGAATGTTTCGATAATTTGATCGATGATGTTTATATTGGTAATTATTAAATCGTTCAACGATCTTAAAATCAATCCTGTATTAAAATTGAATACTATTCAAAAATCGATGGCACATAAAACAAATTGAGGGGAAAACGGATCTTTTGAGAAAAATAATAATCACTTTATTTTAAGATGTAAAATTATGTCCAATAAATCAGTAATACACTAAGGGTCAATAATATAACCTCAACAAATGAATAGAATGTCTAAATTTTGTAATCATTTTTTCCATGCTGTATGAACATAATTTCTAGCAATAGACATGAATCTAGAGATGATTTTACGCAGAATTTTGAAAAGTAACAAGAGGAGAATCCATCAAAAAATCATGAGATGAATCTGTATCATAAAATAAGGTAGTCACAAAATCTAAGTAGTGAGGCTCTCAAAAATTGAACCGTACTCCATACAAAATTTGTGTACCCTCACTACTTAGATTTTGTGGCCTTCAATTGAGAGGTTAGTTTTGATAGAGCACGTTATAAAATTAAAAGGGAAAAATAAATAAAATTTAAACATTTAATTATATATAATGTAAGGAGTGTAATTCCAAATTTTCTAAAAACTATTCAAATTTGAGCATTTTTTTGGAAATAGTAAATCTAATATGTACATCTAATAACAACATGATTCATCACCTTTTCAAGCTCTGCAGTCAATTTTTTGAAATTTGATTGAAATAAATGTAGCAAAAATTACATTTCATTGGGGAATATATGAGTTTCTCTGGAAACAGGCTGATAAATTTTAAATTTTGTCCAATCAACATGAATGCATTGAGAAATTTGGATTGATTTTCTGGTAGAATCTGGAACAATTCAACCATGTATAAATGGATCATGTAATCATCATGAAATGTTAGTGTTAGAGTTCAAAAGAAACAGAATGAGTGGAAATCAAACACAATCTGAATAGTTTTAAACGTATACAATCTTTAAGTTTGTATTTTGAATTCTACATATATGATTGTGTAATTCGTTCTTTCAAATTTTCGGATTCAGGCATGTTTTGATAAAATTCATTCCCAAAAACGTCAATTAACAATTAAATTTAGTGTATTTTAAATATATATACGTATTATATTTTATAAATTATATTAAATTCGCAAAATTTTAAGTTTTAAACAAAAATAAAAAATGTTCAAAATATGAAATTATGCATAGGATATTAAAATTTACATGTTAGCAATTTTTTTGAATTGCTTTCAATTTTCATATTGAAATTTTTAAGATTTTTTTCTGAAATAATAAGCAAGAATATCAACCTAAATAATATTAAATTCCCTGCGTTAATTTCCCCTCAAAAGTCATTGACCGCCTCTCAATCTAGATTTTGTGAGTACTTTAGCTAATTTTTCTTTGTTAATCTGATGCAATATTATATGTATTATATTTCCACGTTATATTTTTTCATTCTCATGAGGTTCAAGATAGGAAAATAATTTGATCAAGCCAATGAGGTTTTCTAAGTTAAAAACTCTTATGAGTATCGTGAGCTTATGCACAGTGGCTAACAAATTTTATATACTCACAGCAGGTTATACGGGATTGTTCAATTTCTTAATACAAACTTTAGATGAAGGAACCATTAAGAATATCCGTTAAATAACTAAAGTGTGATACGTTTATCGTTTCTACGACATCATTTGCCGATGATTTAAATATTTTGAATTATTCTTTGATAAAAATGCATTTATTTACAATTAGATACATGATAAGATGCACTGTTATTGGTTCATCTTATTATTCGTATACTTTTCAATATGATTTTGAAATAAGGAATGTATTTATTCATTGATGAATATTTTGTAATAAAATATCAACATATACTGGATTCTCTGAAGTAAACAATCAGATATTCAAATACAAATGTATGTTTAGTTCTAGCTTATTGAATCAAGTTTTCAGGTTCAGTGATTTGGTCGAGTGTTGCGAGTGGAATAAACTTCTTGTCTGTGATGACCTTCCAGTTGTCGAGGTTCAAGAGCTTCTCGTTGAGCTTCTGCTGGAGTTCTGGTTGCATGGCAATTCTCTTTGGTGAGTTTGCACCGTGGATGCCGATTGATCTGAGGATTGTGAAGCCGGAGTAGTTGAAAGCGTAGAGGGCGCTCCATGTGTATGCGTCGAGGCCGTTGCCTTCCTTAGGATCGAAGAACATTGGTGCACCGCCTGTGGAGATGACGGATGTGACCTTCTTGCCAGCGAGGTAGCCCTTGTCGAGCATGTGTTCGAAGTCCCAAGCAAATGGAACGTTGAGAACTCTCTCTGTGTATGCGTAGACGCATGATGGGAATCTGCCGTACCACATTGGGGCGAAGATGACAACGTGTGTTGCCCACTTGAGGTTCTCTTGTTGGACTTTGATCTCGTCAACCAAGTTGTCTTGGCCTGTGACTGCGAAGATTGAGAATGTGCCATCTGGGATCTTCTTGAAGTCCTTTGTTGTCAATGTTCTGTCGAAACCAGACTCGACGAGGTTAACGTACCTGACTTCGTGGCCTGCCTTCTCTAAGGCTGCCTTTGCTGAGTCTGCGAATCTGAATGCTGTTGCCTTGTGTGTTGGGTCAACGTGTGCGACGAGGAAAAGAACGCGCATAAGTGAGAAGTGAAGAGATTTACTCAATTTTTTACGATCTTCAATTTTTGTTTTTTTCAAAGCATTCTCAAAATATGATTTCTACTGATTTTTTTGCAAGCCAAAAACTCAAAGCTATGACATCTCGCTATGAAATCACAATATAAACACCATGCAGATTGATATTATTTGTGACAATTCTTGATATCAATACAAATAACAATTCGAAATGATTTTGATATTTATTATCATTGCTTTTATTGTTTTGTGAAGGAAATCATGTATAGGTATTATACTATCATGGAGATAAACTCAGATTATGTTTTGGAAAAATTCTTTGATTTCTTGTTAAATATGAATTGTCACAGATAATAGTAATCTGCATGGTGTTTATATTGTGATTTTCATAGCGAGATGTCATAGCTTTGAGTTTTTGGCTTGCAAAAAATTCAGTAGAAATCATATTTTGAGAATGCTTTGAAAAAAACAAAAATTGAAGATCGTAAAAAATTGAGTAAATCTCTTCACTTCTCACTTATGCGCGTTCTTTTCCTCGTCGCACACGTTGACCCAACACACAAGGCAACAGCATTCAGATTCGCAGACTCAGCAAAGGCAGCCTTAGAGAAGGCAGGCCACGAAGTCAGGTACGTTAACCTCGTCGAGTCTGGTTTCGACAGAACATTGACAACAAAGGACTTCAAGAAGATCCCAGATGGCACATTCTCAATCTTCGCAGTCACAGGCCAAGACAACTTGGTTGACGAGATCAAAGTCCAACAAGAGAACCTCAAGTGGGCAACACACGTTGTCATCTTCGCCCCAATGTGGTACGGCAGATTCCCATCATGCGTCTACGCATACACAGAGAGAGTTCTCAACGTTCCATTTGCTTGGGACTTCGAACACATGCTCGACAAGGGCTACCTCGCTGGCAAGAAGGTCACATCCGTCATCTCCACAGGCGGTGCACCAATGTTCTTCGATCCTAAGGAAGGCAACGGCCTCGACGCATACACATGGAGCGCCCTCTACGCTTTCAACTACTCCGGCTTCACAATCCTCAGATCAATCGGCATCCACGGTGCAAACTCACCAAAGAGAATTGCCATGCAACCAGAACTCCAGCAGAAGCTCAACGAGAAGCTCTTGAACCTCGACAACTGGAAGGTCATCACAGACAAGAAGTTTGTTCCACTCGCAACACTCGACCAAATCACTGAACCTGAAAACTTGATTCAATAAGCTAGAAATAAAAGTACCATTCTATTTTCTTTTAACTCTCTATGTATTTACTTATCTATTCATTAATATTCTCTCCAGATATTTGCTTTTCAATTTTGGTTCAGAGTTCTAAAATGCTATCGATACATACATCTCTTTCAAGATTTTCATTTCTTCTAAAATGAAATCAGCGATATTTTATCCGCGCCCAAAAATCATTAGTAATAAATATTATTATCGTTGATTATCTATACATTTATATTTTACTTCACTTGCATAAATATTTTCAATACTTATTAACAGTTGATGAGCCTCAGTATATCATTTTTTGATTTTTCTTCACATTTGACTGCTTTTTTTGATAATATCAGTAATGTATTCCCTTTATCAATTCTTATGATGTTATAATTATATTGAATTCGCTTCTTTATTCTGCAGTGTTACGTTGTTTTGTTTTTAGATTAACATATTCAGAGAGTAATTACAACAAAACAATGTCCATGATATTCGATGAGACAAATAGATCTGAAGGCAGTAGTGCGGTGATCATTGAGGTGATTTGGAAGAATTGGATCCAAAACCTATTTGAAACGCCAAAGCTATCAATGGATATTTTTGAATAGCAGCAGCATAGATCCGAAATATTCAAAACAAAATACTTCTATCAACGATAGAAGGATCGAAAATTTTATCATCGCTAAAAAAATTTATAATGGGCAAATGCAAGTTAAATTGGCCCATTATACATCCTTCGGAAGAGCAAGAGTTCATGACTAAAGGCTTTATAGCTTTTAGCGTACTTCAATTTATTGCAATTACGATTTTGTGCTCGATATCAATTAATAAAGTTGCCAAAACAAACATCACATCCTTTTTCCCTGTCGATTTAGAAACATTATTTATAGCTATTATCTTCCTTGCTGTTATTCTTCTTGTCGTCGGCTGGTCATCAGCAAGAAATAACAATACTTGCATATGGCTCTTATTCCATGCTTTTAACTCAGTAATGCTCATCGTCGAAATCATTGTATGCTTAATGAGTTCTAATTTACAGGGTTTCACAAAAAGCTTCTCAGTCGAATGGTTAAAAGCTGATGAAGCCGTCAAGAAAGAAATTCAGGTCGATCTTCGTTGCTGCGGTCTGACCAATATTACAGATCATGAAGTACTTCCATGCCCTCACGGAGCAGAAGAAGGTTGTATCGTTCAAATTACAAAGCTGATGACTACAATCAAGAACGCAGCTTCTATAGCTATGTTCGTTTGCTTCACATTTGGCCTATTTATAGACTTCCTTGGCTGTGCAATTTGCTTCCATCCTGATGTTATTAATTTCGAGGAACACGAAAAGGAATTGGCTAGATCAGAAGGAGTTTTCGATATAGACTCCTTTGAAAATCCATTTGTTTCAGAAATACAAGCTATTAATATCTAGATTTATTTATTTTATTATTCTATTATAAATTAAAACTGTCTACATGATCTATTAATAATTCCTTTTTATTTTAAGTCAAGCTGTACTAGGAATTAAAATTCAAAAATATCGATTTTTTTAAATACTTCAGAAACGTTTAAGAGGTGAAATATATTCTTCTAATGCAGTTACAATTCAAGATGCCGATGATATTTTAATGAGCTGAATCTTGAAATAAAATTTAATAGTGATCTTAAGGTGATTGATTATAGTAATCAAATGTACTAATGCATTTTTTGCATATAATATACTCCATAGAATCGGAATTGAACTTGACAAAATAATTGACCTCAATACTGAAGAGAAAGCCGAAATTTATATGATTATTTCGCATTGCTCATTATTGGAGCATATATTGTTGTAAACAGAAATTCATCAAAAGTGACACCTCAGAAAAGCTAAAATATTGAATTTTTGGAACTTTTGATAGAGCACGTTTTTAAATATTAATTAAAGTAAATGTATATTTTGTAAAGATTCTTTTTAATAAAAAAATAAAATTTTGAAGAAGAACACAAAATCTTCTGAAAAATAATATCACATAAACTCATATTATTTTCTAATATATAACTATTTTATATAAAAATCAAATTCAATGATCTTAAAAGCGAAGGATAAACCTCAAAATTTACGAATATAATGAGTGGGAATATAATGCTTATCTATCATAAAACCATATGAAATATCAATTTTTGCTTTACGCCTAATTTTTGACGACAATTAGCAAAAAATGTTAAATGTTAACACTCAGTCCATTTGAATATGAAAAATAAAATTGACTTTGATTAAATGTTTTTATTTATCATGCAATTCTTCTTGCGACCAAAGATTTGAATAAAAGTTCAAAAAATAAGATAGCTTAAAAAATAATATACGGTAGTGTTTACTAATAGATGAATAGTATATAAATTCTATTAAAATGGATTTGATCCAAAAAAATATAAAACCAAAAATAATTGTTATACCCAGATTTTCCTTACTTTTACCACCTCTCTAAAGCTGGGGACACCGCCTATCGTTGGGAGTAGCTATTAAATAGAACCACCAAGGGTATTTTTCGAACTGCCGGTGTAGTGGAAACATCCGACATAATGATTCATTATGCCAAGGTTTGATTCCCATTTAGCCAATTTTTTTTCTTTTTGGATCATGAATTTTTTTTTGGGTCACTATAAGATTTGTTTCATGTTCTAAATCTGCTGCATATGTAATCTATTTTTATTTACCTATTTTTTCAAAATCTATTGGATTGCCAAATTTGAATATATTTAAAATCATAAAAATCCAAAAAAACTATAAATATATGTTTTATGCATAGTGCCGATACTCAAATATCAGATTACTTAGATCCATGAATAATATCCGAATTTTTTTTCTTAAGGATACCCTTACATTGCGTAGTTAGAAAGAGAATATGATATTGTCATGATTGCTAAAGTTTTAGGCTCCAGAAATGAATATACATCAAACTGAAACAATTGATAAATTGAATGAACTTTTGAGAGGTTCTCAAATAAAAAAATTATCTAATTTTTTACAATATTACTATTATTTTATCCACATATGTATATATAGTAATTTGAGAAAACTTTTAGGAAAAAATAAGTTTAATAAAAATCTGAATTTTACTTGTTGTGGGATTGTTATTAATTGACACTCCAGACGTATACTAATAGTTATGCGTATGCAATTAAAGTATTTCTGATGGACAAAATGTGAGATTTATATCAGATAATTCATTTCTACTATTAAGTTATTCATTTATGAGTTTGCACTTATTCGCACTAAATAAATAACTATTAAAAATTGTTTTAATTAATTGACACCATATAATAGAGTGAATTTTGTTTGATCAAACAACAATAGATGATAGATATAAAGCCAAGAAACTTGCTATTAATATGCTCTACTGCTATTTCAATGTAAGTATGATATTTTCTAAATGTTTCGTTCAGATAACTTAGATATATTAGTCAAAATTTGAAATTTTAATAGCACATATATTAAAAATAATTATTATTCATAAAAGATTAATGAAATAGTAAAAAAATCAATCAAATTATAAAAATACAACATTTAGAAGAATTCTTATTATCCTTCAAAAAGTCAGTATTTCTGCTGTAATTTTCTACAACATTGTAGTTATTGCACTTTGTCTATGGATTTGTATATATGTTATATATAAATTATATATCTAAACTGCCCATAAGTGCAATTTTTATATAAATTGTTTATTTCTTTAACAATTTCATATGAAATATGCTTTTTTAAGCGTATCAAAGCTGTGTTCTTAATGTGCATGGATATATCAAGAAAAAATGTCGAAAAAAAAAATGTGAATTCACAAATTCACTGAATTTTCACCGTTTTTTGAATTTTGCTACAGCACTAATATTAAATAATACTAAAATCTTCTGTCTTTGTAAAAGAATAAATTCTGACAAAAAGTGCTCGTTTAAATTTAATGATCATCTGTATGACTAAGTGGTAAAAAGTGTTTATGACCAAAAAAGGGTTACATGCTTAGTCTATTTTTCTGACAGGATACTCTAGATTTACATGATCTCTATTTCATATCTCCGTTTTTAGATTCTTCGACAGATTTTATGATAGAAAACCAAGATTAACAAATTTCCGGCATGTTAATGAAGAAATCTGCAGCTACCCTCAATATTATTTCAATAATCAGTATCGTTTCTCTTACAATTTATTTTTTCTCAATAATTTAACAAGAAATAACAATACACACTTGGTTTTACGTATAAAAGCTAAGTGTCGAACTTAATCAACTTTACTTACTTAGCAAATGAATATTTTGTGGTTGCGAGTTCTGAATGCTGAAGTTTTAGATTTCTCTATAAATGATATCATTGCACTTACAATGTTGTTCCAGCCTATCGCATAAATCATAGAAAATCCAAAAAAAAAAATATAAAGAAAATTCATGTCATGAAGTTCAAAAAATACCGTGTAACATTAAAATTTGTTATGCATAATACATTTTAGCTATTATTGATTTTTTTTAATTTTCGAGAAATTGAATGGTGAGTCCGATAGAGAAATTTTTAAAAATCCTAGTGCCTCATAGAAGTAATTTCCCTCGTCTCCCATACTTCCAAATGTATGCATATGACATAAACTTTTATGCATTACACAAGTGGCCAATAATATCTATAGAGTAAAAAATTAGAAATTTAATTTTTTTATATGATAGTTATATTTCAGATTTGCGAGCGTAACTTTTTTCTCCATGGCATACTTGTTTTAAGAGCAAATGATCAAAATCGTCCTTCAATTATTGAAGGAGCTGATATCTTTTGAAAATTGAATTGAAAGGGTATTCAATTTTCAAATTTCCTCTCAATTTTGGAAACATATCAACTCTATGAATTAACAATTATGTGCCTTCACAGTTTATCAGTCATATAAGGTGCTTATAAAGAAAAAAGTTACGCTCGCAAAATATGTTTTTATATAGATTTCACATAAAATAATTATGTAATTTCTAAAAAGAATATTTTTGTTCTTGAATATTAAAGTGTATTGTAGTTTAAAAAGTTTTAAATATGTTGCTAAAATTTCAGGTTTATAGCTCATGTCTAGCATGACTTCTTCGTATGCGCAAAAAATCTGACACGTAAGGGTATCCTTAAAATTAAACTTCAAAACTTCTTGCAATCTTATTCTTCATCTATTGTAAATTTTTAAAACCATTTTTTAAAATAATTTTGCGTAAATTTTATTCTCATGTTGTTTTAATCGAAAATTGATACATTTTCAAAAAAATAATATTGACTTATGAAATTCATTTTTAAGGTGAAATAGTATTGTTTTTATTAAAGTATATGAATAATATATAAAAAATTAATGAATAATATAAGCAGATTTTTAGTTTACAAAACAAATATGAGCAATGCAATTTCAAACTTTTGCTGGCAATTTCGATATTGCTCAAGTTTGTAGTATTTGTGATACCTATAACATCGGCTTAATCAAAATTCGATTTTTCTTATGAGTTATTGAGAAAATTTGATTGCAATGAGAAGGATTTCGACGTTTTTGATAAACTAAGAGCTGAGCTTTAGGGGTTCAGTTCATTTATGGCTGTAGTTTGATGCGTAGATCTCTTTTTTATTGTAAATTCTTTCAGCATGGAGATCGAGAATGAATCTTTTGAGAACTTTATGAGTTTTTACACCGTAAAGAGGTCCTTCGAGGAAAGATAGTCCAGACTACATGAAGATGTGGGTTAACCAAAAAAATCGATGGTTTCCCCATATTCATGTAATCTTCGAAAAATGAGCACCAAAAAGCCAAAAAAATAGGCTTTTTATTGGATTTGTACACTAGATCAATAACCTATTTAGGATCTGACACTCTTTTTAGCCAGAGATATGAGGTCCTTTCTAGGAAAACGATCTATTCATCCATAAAAAAAATGAATTATCATTTTCCCCAGAAATTACATGGGGAGTGGTAAAAGTAAGGAAAATCTGGGTAATTTAAATGAAGAAGTAATTTAAAACGATTTTATTTATGATCAAATTTTATATATTTTTTTGGATCAAATCCATTTTAATAGAATTTATATACTATTCATCTATTAGTAAACACTACCGTATATTATTTTTTAAGCTATCTTATTTTTTGAACTTTTATTCAAATCTTTGGTCGCAAGAAGAATTGCATGATAAATAAAAACATTTAATCAAAGTCAATTTTATTTTTCATATTCAAATGGACTGAGTGTTAACATTTAACATTTTTTGCTAATTGTCGTCAAAAATTAGGCGTAAAGCAAAAATTGATATTTCATATGGTTTTATGATAGATAAGCATTATATTCCCACTCATTATATTCGTAAATTTTGAGGTTTATCCTTCGCTTTTAAGATCATTGAATTTGATTTTTATATAAAATAGTTATATATTAGAAAATAATATGAGTTTATGTGATATTA